CTCTGTAACCGTTTTTCTCCTATTCGTCCTTATTGGTACCTGAATCCCCTATTATTTTATTATTGTTGTTACGTTGACCCCATGATTGTTTCCAAGCGAGTGCTGTATATATATATATATATATATATATATGTAAAATCACCAAGAATGTATGTATATATGCCTATGTGGTACAACGAATGAATGATTTTTTTTACTCCCTGTCCTATGATCAACGAATACAGTGTAGAAAGAGGATCATATATCGCTTAAATAATTTTTGACCCACTTAGCTTAAAACTTTTATTCTGATAAATGAGGAAATAAGTATTACCTCAACCTAAATGTAATTTAAATCGAAGTGAATGTGTAGACACATGGATAAAACGATTACGGATAGGTACTTATTCAAGTAACACCCTATCGACAGGTTTGTGAAAAAGGGAGCTGAGCATCACGGATCCGTCATCCATATTATGGCTGGAACTCATCAGCTCACCTCACGTGCCGCAGCGACAACATCACGTACGGACAGAATCATAACATCTTGTACCTGCAGCAACCACTTTTCCACTGCACCCCGTGCTTCAGATGTGCTGATTATCTGAAATGGATAAGAATAAAGGTAATACAGAATTCACTTATTGATTCGAACTGACCAATTTTTCAGACTTCACCTTTCCGTGTAATCCTTATTTGATTCTGTCAACAACAACAATTCAGAAAAAACACAAAAATGAGTTTCTGTTCCTTTGGATCTCATCATCAGTAGTGCATATCCACCGTCTCATCCGGGGCTTGAATTCCGGATCCATTACACGGAAAGCTTGTGCGTTACCACTGTGCCAACCAGGTCACATCAGGGCCAACCAGAATTGTCTAGTTATGTTTTTCGGATGTATGACCCGAAAGAAACGAAGAGAGACAGTATATTTTATGTTAACTCCGCTCACACCCTCTCCAACCAAATCAGCCCTTCCATACATGTACTCTGGATCCCAACCCCCCCCCCACTCCGCGTT